CGCCTCCTCCTCTACCTCCTCCTCTTCGGGCTCTGGGTCTCGCTCCTGCTCTCCCTCCTCCGTCGCGGCTAGCGTGGCCGCCTCCTCCCCGGGTTCCTCGACCGAAACCTCGGCCGCCTCAGCTACTACCAGTTCAGGTTCGGGCTCAGACTCCGGTTCGGGTTCCGGCTCTGGCTCACCGCCGCCGCACGGTCCGCGAAACTCGCCAAGGAATAGCTCCAGGAAGCGCCGGTAAGTTTTCTCCTCAGGGCTGCAGCCGGCCATCGCTGCTCATGCCCCAAGGCCGACCGGGAAAGGGGTGGGGAAGCCCACGAAGGGGAGGGGGCTGCTTCTGAGCCTCGGGCTCCCGCTACGACTGTTAACAGCCGCACCAGCAAGAGAGATCAGCACTAGGTTGCTTGGAGAGGGCTCCCGCAGGCGTGCGCGCCACCGAGGACGGACGTGCGCGGCCCAGGGGCGGAGCGCGCTACCCCTCTCGGGTCTGGAGGGAAAGTTGTTGGCGAGTGCGCGCTCAGGGTCCAGCGACAGCCCACCCTCTATCCCTATGGAGAGCTCAGCCCACGCTGCCTGGAGACCGTCGTCACGGCAACCAGTTCTAATTAAGAATTTCAGGGTCCCTCCCAAGGAGTCCGCGGAGTCATAGGGACATAGGACGCGCCTGCTCTCCAACTCTGAATGTTTATTGGATGAAGACCCTAGTCTCAACGTTAATAAGGAAGTAAGACATCTCCCAGTCAAACTGTTGGTTCCCACTTGGATTGCATGTACTTAAGTTTCTTTATCTGCTCATAACTTGCCTTAGTGTATAGGCTGAAAGATACCATACTGTAAATACTTTGTGTTGATGGCACTCAGTTAGGATGTGGAAGCCCAAAACACATACCCAGTGGGGAGGTTCCTTTACATAGGTTCTCTCATTTGATCCTATTCTCATTTCTCAAAGAAAAAAAGGAAAAGAGTTAACTATTTGATTCAAGTTTTCGAAACTTCCAACCATGCAACTAGAATTAAAACCCAGGTTAGCCTCCCAACAGCTTTTAGACCCTTTTCATTTAACTCTTCCCTGTTTCTGAAAATTCAAGTGCCATGAGTTCATATAATGCCTTAATGTATAGGACTTTGTAATTTACAAGTTGTTCTCCCTCCTCAACTTTACCACAGCCCTTCAGATAGAAGATGTTGCCATTGTGATTGTTTTATAGATGGGGGGACCAAGCTTTAAAGTATCGTGACTTTGCTCAAGGTCATAAGCAAGTGATGTAATGCAGATCTGATCCATGACTGAGATTCAGTAAATTTCATCCTTTTGTTTTCCATTACACCAACACCCCCCTCTTGCGTTTCTCCATAAAGTGTATAATACTGTACTGCATGCATGTAGGTCTTTCTGTAGTATTTTGTTTGCTTTTCTTCCCATCCTCTTTCATGTCTTTTTCTTTCCTAGGTTGGAACTGAAATGACTTCAAATGGTTCTAATTTCTTACCAAATACACACAAACCTATTATTTTCAAGCCTCTCTGAGGGGTGGAAGAGAAGCTGTGTTGTTATACAGCTGTTTAGATGATAGTATCATTACTGCATACTGCCATGTCCATGGCAACATATAATTCAGCAAAAACATAGTGATTCTCTACTTTGAAAAACATGTTCTTGCAAATTATCTACCCCATCCTCTCCAGTTACTGTTTCTGGGTTTCAGTTAGATTTAGGGTCTGAAATACCATTTCCAGTCAGTTATTAATAGCAGAAGAGGGAGACTCTTCACCAAATGTTTCCATATAATACTGTATTCTACATCCCTGACCTGACCTGATACTGTTATTTTAAGACTTAAATGAGTTGAGCTCACTACTATATCATGGTATCATGTGAAAGAGTTAATTCCATGTTCTCTCTTCACTTAAGTTTAAATACATGATAGAAAGTATATAGTGAGTAATACACTTGAGTTCTCTGTAAATATTTTTTCCCTCAAAGGTAAATGGAAAGACCCAACAAGTCTGCTTCCAGAAAAGCTAAATGTATTTATGTGTTTTGTTTAAAATACCACCAGTGTAAAGCAACTTCTCTATGAGATGCCAAAAAAGCCTTTAAATTCATTTGTTTTTGTTTTCAATACACCTGCTCATTTCCATTTCATAAGGTCTAGACTGACAAAACTTTAGGCTGCAAACCCAAATGTCCACAGTCTTACATTCCAACAATTGTTAATATCCTAGAATTTGACATGATGACATTTTGTTCAAGAGTACATAGCTGTCAGCTGCAACAATTCATATCAAGCTACACCTTCCTACTTCGTAATGTAGTTGCCTCCCTCACCTAGGTGACATTTATTTGTGACATTAATTTATGACTCAACCCACATATCAAAGGGAAGTGATCTGTGTTGGTAAAACATTACTTCTAAGAGTAAAAGAAAAAGCCCACATCTCTAGATTATTATAAGTGAGAGGCGTGTTTGCCGATATTTAATAAAGATATTCTTTCACAAAGATCAATATAGATTCTAATGCACCCATTTGACAAAGTAGCTTTGCCAGAAGGTTGCTGACAGAAACTCAAGAGCAGCTGTGTAGGATGGATGATTTTGTCATTGTCAAGTCTTTTTACATAAGCCAAATTAAACCTTTCCTCCTTCAAAAAAAAAAAAGACTTTTTAATCATTATTTTTCATCACTTTGCTTTCCTTTTCATTTCCTCTCCTCTTATATCTCCTTAGTCTCCTAACTATTAAAAAAAAATCACATTACAAAAGCATAGTGTATATCAGTGATATTTAACATTCTTCAGATTTTTTGAGATAATTTTCTTATAAGAGTTATTGTCCTTTTAACCCTTAGCTCTTTGAAGGAAATGTACCATGTCCTTTCTTGGACATTCATGCCAATATTTACAATGTTAAAAAGAATTGCTGCCCTTGGCAGTATCTTGGATGATCTTGCAATTCCTTTCCCAGATAATTTACCCATGAGAAGAAAAAACATGTTCAACATGTACACCCAAGCACAAAAACACTTGTGCACAAATATTCACAGAAGTTTTCTTCTTTTGTTGTTTTGCAGGGCCAGGGATTGAACCCAAGGCCTTCACACTGAGCTACAACCTGTCTTTTATCTTTTACTTTGTGAAAAGGTCTGGGTGAGTTTGTGCTCCCTATTACAGTCCTGAGACCTATTGTGTCTCGTTTGTAGCCTTGTTTCCACTGAATGTGTCCATTGCGATTCTAGCTTTAGCCGGTGACCTCAGCACAAGCTCCAGAAATATCATCTTCCTATATTTATCCTTTAGGTATGGTAGCAGCTTCCAGCTTCCTAAACTTAATAATCCCTCCTTTGTAGCTCTTCCACCACTTCTGTAAACATTTTCTCTACTTTCTTCACCAAATCCTGAGAGATATGTTAACAGTACCTTAAGGGACTATAAAGTAGCCAGGTGTGGTGATCCACACCTCTAACCTTAGCACTCAGAAGGCTGAGGCAGAATTTCCATGGGTTTGAGGCCAGCCTGAACTAAGTGAGACCCTGTCTCCAAAGGGTGGAGGGGGCAGGGATTTAGCTCAGTGGTTCTGCTGCCTGCCTTGCAAGTGCAAGGTCCCAAATTTGATCCCTAGTACCAAAACAAAACAAAACAAAAACCAGAAACAACAACAACAAAAAGAACCTATAAAGTAGATTATATACAACTATAAATGGATTAAAGTGAAGTTAGAGTATGTTTAGGTCTCTAAAGATGCCCTTGGGACACTGAGTTTACTTGAAGGAAAGTTAGCAGTACATTATTTCTAAAATAAGGACAGGTTTTCCAAGGTATGGGGTAGGGAAGGATAGGCAGAGCACAGGAAATTTTTAGTGCAGTAAAAACTATTTGGTATTACTCAAATAGTGGATAGATGTCAGTATACCCATAAAATGTAAAGAGTGAACCCTAATATAAATTGGTGTCTTTAGTTAATAATAATGTACAGATACTGGCTCATCAATTGTAACTAATGTGCCACACTAAAGCAAAACATAAATAATAGAGATAACTGGGGTGAGAGAGGGGGCATATATGAGAACTCTTTCCTTTCTGCTTAACTTTATTGTAAACTTAAACCAGCTCTTAAAAAACAGCCTTAATAAGTTTTCAAAAAAAGCTAAAATATTTGGTACATAATTAATGAGTCCAACTAAGAAAAATATGTAACTTTTTAATCTATTTACAGTTAAGTAGCTTGACTTTGCTAGTTGTAAAGATGTCACTGATTTAAAGTTAATACCATGCTCCAGGGAGTTAGCTCAGTGGCACCGTACTTCCAAAGCACAAAATTCTGAGTTCAATCCCCAGTACCAAAAATAAATAACAAAAATTAATACCATATTCCAAATAGTAAAACATACTTTATGCTTAAAACAGTATGTTTTTAAAGAAAGTAAAATAACAATAAACTATATATATAATATGTATATAATATCCTGTGGCTTATCAATCAATGTCTACTCAAATGATTAGGTGTATGTATAATAATATTAAGTTGAAATATAAAAATATGTATTCTTAGGCCCAGGAATGTAGTAGCTCAGCAGCATAGTACCTGCCTGGGTTAAGTGTGAGGTCCTGAGTTTGATCCCCACTACCCCAGCCCAAAAAAGTATTTTTCCTTTTTTGGTAACGTGTGGTGGCACATACCTGTAATCCCAGTACTTCGGGAGACTAAGGTAGGTAGATCACAAACTTGAGCTCAGACTGGATAATTTAGTAAGACCTTATCTCAAAATATAAAATAAAAATATGAGACTGGGGAAGTAGATCAAACAAAGGGCCCTGGGTTCAATTCCCAGTGCCAATTTTAGAATATTTTAAAATTCATGTTTTAAAAACTGTTGCCTATAATCACAGCACTTGGGAGGCTGAGGCATAAGGATAAGGATTGCTGTGAGTTTGAGGTCAACTTAGGCTACAAAGAGAGTAAAGGCAATCTCAACTATACAGCAAGAACTTGTCTCAAAAAACAAAACAAAACAAAACAAAACAAAAAACTGAATCAGGAGGCTCATGGTATAAATCAATGATCAAGCATTTGGCCTAGCATGTGCAAGGCCCTGGGTTTAATACCTACTGCCACTAAAAAAAGAAAGAAATTGAAGGGAAACTGATACATAAATAGTTTAAAAATATTAATATAATTGTGTTGTCAAACTGACTAGTAGGAAACAAGAGAAGTGAATGAACTGAGCACACAGAAATGTTTTCAAATAGGAACTTCCTCTTCTACTCCCCAGATCAACAATATAGTTTTTTGTTTTTAAGACAGGGTCTCACTATGTAGTTGAGACTGACCTGGAACTCACTATGTAGCCCAGGCTGGTCTCGAACTCACAGTGATCCTCCTGCCCAGCCTCCTGAGTGCTGGGATTATAGGAGTGTGCCACCACACCCGGCTGACAATATATTCTTAAATCATCCCATTTGCTGCCAAAAACATTACTGCTATAATAATTTTTTATTTCTTTCTATAACTGCTGCAATTTTGTTTTTTTGTGGTTTTTTTTTGGTACTGAGGATCGAACTTGGGACCTTGCACTTGCAAGGCAGGAGGCGGCACCATTGAGCTAGTAAATCCCTGGCCCTAAAAGTCTACATGTTCAGTACAGCTGATTTTTCCCTCCTTTCTATTACTGTCTAATGGGGCCATACTGCAGCAATGGTCCAAAGCTGTCAAAATTAAAATTCACTTCAAAAGTAATAACAGGCTCACATGAACTACATTTTACCATTTTTAAAAGGCAAAGTATTAAGTCTCCAAAATGGGTTCTGATCTTTTTTCATATTTTAACCAATAATAACAATCTTTTTTTTCCTATCAGAGTTCTGTGAACAACCAAAATTATTTTTGGACTTATTTGACATCCTTACAAAAGAGGATTAGGGCAGGGGTTGATGGTAATTTGATGATGGTACTATAAATGGCTAACAGGCGGCACATTCCTTCTATAATGACTTTTCTAGAGTGAATTGATGTTACTAAAAAAATCCACATTAATATTTTGCTACTAGTCTTCACTTTACAACAAACCAAAAAGTGCTTATATAATGGTAAAATTTTTATTTATTATAATTTTTAATTATCCATATGTATTTGATTGAGATAAATACACGTAAAAATTCAGAATAATTCTGATCATAACCTTATTCTAATCAGCAGATACCCATTTCTAACTTGGAGCATTCATCAAAAAGAGCCAGACAGCTCAGTCTGGTAGTATATACAGGCCTGTAATCCCAGCACTCTGGGAGGCTGAAGCAGGAAGATCAAAAGTTCAAGCCAAGACTAGAAAACTTAAGATCTTATTTCAAAAAAAAAAAAAAAACAAGCTACTTAAAAAAAAAAAAATTAAAAGGAGTCGGGTGTGATGACACATGCCTATAACCCTAGCACTTGTGCGGCTGAGGCAGGAGGATCCCCTCAAGTTCAAGGCCAGCTTGGGCTATATAGTAAGTTCAAAGACAGCCTGAACTACAAAGCAAGATCCTGTGTCTCAAAAAAAAAAAAAAAAAAAAAAAAAATTTTAAATAAATAAAAAGAATTTAGGCAACTAAATATAAAAACTCTTCATAAAGGTATTTTGCATGCTTAGATAGCACTGAATACTTTATTATTAGTTGAGCTGATGGAATTGAGCCACAGTGACATTTGTGACTAGAAGGGAAGATGGAAATGATTCCATTAACCTAGAGTGCTGTAACATATGGTAATCATAGGTGGTAGAATAGCTGTGTTGGACAAGGGTAGAAATAAGCCATGTGGCACAGACATTATCAATTACCACACATGGTAACCATGCTGACACAATGCATCTTTTCCAGGAAGGAAATGATCTGGGCATATGAAGTGGTTTGCTGACTTATGAAAGAGTGATCTATAAATGACCTATCTGGCACCGATATAGCACATGATTTCCAGCAATTCTGCAAGGTGAGGATTAAGACTTGATGAATGTCAATTTATTTAAATAATATATATAATTATTTGCACAAAGGCATAAAATCAAAATATGTTATCAAAATAAATGTGGGCCCTTCATACCTAAAATTATTTTTCAAATATCCTTTAAAATGTCTTATAAAATTCTTAAATTCTGTATATGTGGAAATATGTACCAATAATTTCATGACTTTTTGAGACAGACTCTTGCTATGCAGCTCAGGCTAAACTCAAACTCACTATGTAGCCCAAGCAGATCTTGAATTTTAATCTTCTTCCCTCAACCTTCTCACTGCTGGGATTGAAAGTAATCCCATGTTCAAGTAATTTCATGACTCAGGCACAAAACCTATGGGCCAATGTTCAAGATTAGATCTAGGAAAATAAAGTTATAATTATTTTTTCAGATACTGGAAAAAAAACTGAATTGGAAAGAAACATGATAAAAACTATGTTTGTGTATACGTGTGCGTGTGTGTCTGTGTGTGTGTGTGTGTTTAAAATAAAGTCTGGCCTTGAATTTAGTATGTAACCTAGGCTGGCCATGAACTCTCAGTGATCCTTTTGCCTCCTGAATGCTAGGATTACAGGTGTGCAACACCAGGTCTGATTAAAAACTATGTTTTAAGAAAATTTAATATGTAAATATTATTTCAGATGAGTGAAAGATGAATTGAAGCAGAGATTAAAGGCTGGAATCAGTTGGACAGTGGGAGCCAATGAGAGTACAAAAAAGAATGGTCTCAGTTGGATTAAGGTATACAGAAGAAGCAAAAAAGACATAAGACAAGATCTGAGATTCAAAGAAGGTATCTGAAGATACAGCTTGGTTAAGATCTGGCAACACAGAAGCTCTCTAATGGCTATGCCAGTTATCCACTACTGCAAAACAAACTATCCCAAAATTTAGTGGCTAAAACAAAAAACACTTTATTACTTTTCACAACTCTGTGTTGACTGGGTTCAGATAGGTGGTTCTCACTTGCAGCCATCAAAAGGTTGCCCTTGAATACCAGCTGGGGATAGAACATCTACAAGTTCAACTGGGCTGGATGTCCAAGATCACTTACATTATACATTTTTCATTTATATTGAAAAAAGAGCAGAAGGCAATTACTATGTGAATATTTGTCAAGATACTAATTTTACTATGTTGCTAAAATAGCAGTTGATATTAGCTGTTAACAGCTAGGGCTGTCAAACTAAAATGCTTACACATAATAACTCCATGTTGATGGCCTTAGGATAGGCAGACTTCTTACATGGTGGCTCAGGGGCATCAAAGCTGAGCATTCCACTTTGGCGTGGTGGTGCACACCTGCAATCCCAGCACCTGGGAGGTTGAGGCAGGAGGACTGCCATGCGTTTGAAGCTAGGTTGGGCTACATAGTGAGTTCAAGTCTGAATTACATAGCAAGACTCTGTCTCAAACAAACAAACAAAGGGAGTGTTCCAGTGATACTTTTTTTATAACTTAAATTTCCTAAATTAGTATCATTATTGTTATGGCACTATATTGGTCAAAGCAGTACAATAGACCCCTTTAAGACTCAAGAGAAAAGGAGATAACACACCCTATGTTCTGAGGGGAGAAGTGTCAAAGAATCTGTTTTAAAATACTATAGCACCTCAGAGCTTGAATTTTAAAAGTATCTACTATAGTTCGTAGTGCTCAGTTCTAGTCCTCCAAGTTTTGATGGGTTGAAAATATTATATTTGAAAATATTATATTAGTTTTAATTTAGAGGGAACCTAATCAGGAGCCTGTAAACATATATCTTGTTATAGGGCCAATAAAGTATCACAGAAGGTGTATTTGGAGAAAAGTGTGTGTGTGTGTGAGAGAGAGAGAGAGAGAGAGAGAGAGAGCAGAGGGGCAAGTTTCTAGAGGCCCTTGACAAGGCTTATTAGCCCATATTCCTTTAAAACCTGTTCCTACCTTGGAGAACTTCTCGCTGAAATAATTGGATTGTATGAAAACTTAAATAATGTTTGGCAAATAATAAAATAAATAAATAAACTACTGTAACAATGTTTAGCTTCATTAAGACCAGGTTCAGGAACTTGAACTTGATGCCTCAGAAATGTATATTCCAAATTTAATTACTTGGATAGATATTAACTAGTGCTAACAAGTCTAGAAGAATCCAATATATAAAAACTACAAGGGCAACGTAAGAATTTACATTGAGAATTATTTATTCCAGTGAGACCAGACATTTTCATTGATCTGGCTTTAATTGGGAAATATAATTACCAACAGATTGGTAATTAATACACATTCAATCAGAAAAAGTTCATTACAATTCAAATAATGACATCAAGTTGAGATAGTCTAATGCAACTAAAAATATGTAAAAAAAAAATCACAGTATGAGATGTCATTATTAAGGAAAATATCAAACTGGCAAAAAAAATCCCAAATAACATGTGATGAAGAGTGTTGAAAAGCAGCCACTATCAAACACCACAGGGGGTATAAACTAGTAACAGTCCTAGAGGACAATTTGGCAAAATCTATCAAACTGTTAATTATATATACACTCCTATAAATTCTCTGTATCTTCATTAAAAGCTGAATCAACCTAAATATCTATAAATAAGTGATTAAGCAACAATATATTCATTCACAGAATGCTACACAGCAATTTTTTGTGGGGGTCGTTCTGGGGATTGAACTCAGGACCTTTCCCTTGTGAAGCAAGGGGCAGAACCACTGAGCTAAATCCCCAGCCCAGCAATTTTTTAATATGAGAAAATTCTACATATACTGACACAAAAAAAGGTGCTAAACAGTGTGTGTATTATTTAAAAAGGCAGTGTTGGATTCAAAAATATATTTTAGATACATGGAATAGCTCTAGATGATCATATAGGAAACATAATGACTATTGCCTCCTAAAAAGGAACTGAATGACTAAGGGACAGGAGGTAAGTAACTGTCATTGGCTTTTTTTTTTTGTACCAGGGATCGAACTCTGATCTTGCACTTGCAAGACAGGCGACGGAACCACTGAGCTAGATCCTTGGCCCCGTCATTGACTTTTTTCAAACCTAATCCTTTAAAATTAAAAAAAAAAAAAAAAAAAAGCCAGGTATGGTGGCACACAACTAGCATTCTAGGAAGTGGAGGCAGGAGGATTTCAAGTTTTAATTTCACCTGGGAAATTTTAGTGATTTATTGAGACCCCGCCTCAAAAAACAAGGGCTGGGGATAAGGCTCAGTGTAGAGGCCTTGACTTCAATCCCAAGTACTGTAAAATAAATAAACATCAGCAAAAAAATTTAAAAGGAAAAGAAAAAAAAATGCACCAGGAAGAACAATAAGATGGCTTAATAAGGTAAATCTAAACTAAATAGTGCTAATCCATACTAACTCAAACTTTAGGACTCCTTATATGATTTTCTAGGGGGAAAAAGTCATACTTCTTATTTCTTTTATTTTTTCTTCAACAAACCTTTGTTAAAATCTTATTTGACTCACCAAATAAAAAGACAAAATTATCTTGAAAAAAAAAAAAAAAGACCAGAAAAAGAAATTGGGGAGGTAGTACTAGGGCTTAGACCCAGGGTCTTTACATAGAGCTACATCTCCATCCCTTTTTTATTTTTTATTTGAGACCAGGTCTCAGTCACTAAGTTACCCAGGCTGAACTCAAACTTTTGATCCTCCTGACTCAGCCTCCCTGAGAACAAGGATTACAGGTGTATATAACCATACCTGGCTAACTTTTTTGTCAAAGAACATACCAGTAATGGTTATATAATCAATTGTGCTTTTCTTTCTCTTCCTTTGAGCCTTGATTTATATGAATTCTTGATATAAATTTTTTTTACATTTGGCTTTTATCTTTTACCTTGTAGTTTTGTATTTTGAAAGTAGGTGGGGCACAATTTCCATGAGTTCTCAAGTCCTTCTGAGTGAGCCGAACTTTGATAACCTCATAAAATAAGCTACATATAAAATCACAACCTGAGTAACAGTGTCTTTAATTTTAAGACTCACGTCTTACTACACATAATGAAAGTCAGCTGAAACACAGAAAGGGCTATGTTAATGGTGAACTAAAATGGAAAACAAGCAAGGGAATATACTTCGGTCAAAAATACACGAAATCTTGTCAACATGTTTTATGCCAAAATCAGTTCTGAGGGAGCAAAATGTTCTGTAAATTTTAACAGTAACAGTAAATTTAGGCACTGATGTTAACTAAAAATACATATTATGAACAGCCAGCCTCTCTTCTGCAACTCAATGGATTTTTTTTTTTAAAGCAATAGAACATTTCAACATTGTGTCTCAAAACCAAAATGCAATGTATCAAAATGGGAACCCTAGCATTATTAATCTTGAAAATAAAATGTATAAATATACTTTTCACTATTTCCAGTAATAATAATTTTAAATGAATGTTTAAAAACATTTACAAAAGTAGACACTCAAAACAAACCAATGAACTTATTCTTTTACAGTTAGTTTGCAGTGCTGGGGAGGGAACCCAGGGCTTTTGCACACTTGAGGCAAGCATAGCAATAAAAAAATTTTTTTTTTTTTTTTTGGTACTAGGGATTGAACTTGGGACCTTGTGCTTGCAAGGCAGGTGGTAGAACCACAAAGCTAAATCCCCAGCCCCATAAAGCAAATTTAAGAAATCATTTAGTCTTACCTTGTTTTAAAAACAAGATAATGACATGAGAAAATAAAGGTGCCAAAACTAATGTGACTTGTTACCGTCTCAACTAGAATTAGAATATAGGTCTTCTAACTAGTCCTGTCATTTTTCTACCACACTAAACTCTAATTTTATCACTAATTGTAAATATTTCAATAAGTATTACTAACAAGAGAAATAACTACCACACTAAACTCTAATTTTATCACTAATTGTAAATATTTCAATAAGTATTACTAACAAGAGAAATAACTTTAGAGCTGGGCATGGTGGCAAAAGTCTGTAACCTCAGCTATTCATAAGGCTGAAGCAAGAGGACTGCAAGTATGGAGCCAACCGTAGCAACTGTAGGAGACCCTATCTCAAAATACAATACACAGGGGTGGGGATGTAGCTTTGTTTTATAGCACTTACCTGTACGTCCCTGGGTTCAATTCCCAGTACTGAAAAAAAGAGGGGCTAGAGCTAGGCGTGATCAATCACACCTATAATCCTAGCACTCAGGAGACTGAGGCAGGAGAACCATGAGTTTGAAGCCAGCTTGGACTACACAGTTAGACTCCAACTCAAAAACAAACAAACAAAACTTTAGAAATAACCCAGATATCTACCCACAGATGAATGGATAAATGAAATGTAGTATAAACATAAAATAGAATATTATTTAGCCTGTAAAAGGAATGGATTTCTTATATATAACACAATCTGTAAGAACTTTAGAAATATGCCAAGAGAGGGCTTGCTTTGGCAGCACATATAGTAGAAATATGCCAAGTGAAATGATCCAGACACAAAAGAAAAGATATTGTATGCTTCCACTTATATGAATTACAATGGGCAAATTCACAATAACGGGAAGTAGATGAGGGGAAAGGACAATAGGGAGTTACTGCTGCATATACCGTGTATAGTTTCTGTTTTGGGGTGATGAAAAGTTTTAGAAAGACTGGTAATGGATTAGGGCCCAATGGGCACATGCCTGTAATCCCAGTATTCAGGGAGGCTGAGGCAGTTTGGGCAACCTGGCAACTTAGTGAGACCCTCAATGGAAAAAAAAAAAAGTGGTAATGGTTGCATAACATTGTGAATATAATAAACATTAACTTAATTGTAGACTTACAAATGGTTTAAATGGCAAATTTTGTTAAAACTATTTTGCCAAAATAAAAACCAAGAGTATTAATTTCAAAAAGTGCTCCAAAATACCATCCTATGCATGACCAACTAGAAATAGTATTTTTATGACCACTTGAAAACAGAATTTACCCTAAATCTTATTTGAAATATTTATTCATTCAATAAGCAATAGTTTTAGGCATTAGATACATAGGTGGGTAGAAAGAAGGAAAGGAAGAAAAGTAGACAGGCCAGGCTACCATATCTATCTTATAGAGTTGCTAGAAGGACCAAATAAAATGATGTAAAAATGTCTTATAAATAATAAAGCACTATAGACTTAAGTATGATTAAGTTATGCATCTCCAAAATTAAAGCCATAAGTCATAATACTCTGAAAATACTTCAAGAAAAGATATTTGTAAAATCCAAAAAAAGAATTAGCAAAAAGAAAAAAATATATAAATATGACCATTCGAAAAAGTGTAAATTTATGATTAAAGATATTGGTAGCATGATCTCTAAGGTTTCATCTAGCAGTATAATTCTATAATAAATGCATCTGAAATGTGAAGTTCTCATCCTAAAAATAAAACAAAACCGGGCCAAGGATTTAGCTCAGTGGTTCCACCACCTGCCTTGCAAGCGCAAGGTCCCGAGTTTGATCCCCGGTACCAAAAAATAAATAAATTAAATTAAACCATGAATTAGATTATGTGAGCTTTTAATTCTATGTTTTATACTTTTAATAATTATTTCAAAAGAATCAAAGATCTCCCAAAAGTAGAGAAGGGTTTCTCAAACCAGAACAAAATTTGAATTTCTAGTATTTGTTTTCCTACTACTAATAATTTTTTGCATAGATTATATTAACGGCCTGTGTTGTATTAACTGTGGCCAAGACATGATAAAACACAGAAGTGACACAAAATCACTGGAAACGTTTTCAGTGTATGTGTGCAAATATACAGTTTTCCATCACTATAACAAATACCTGAGATAATCAACTTGTAAAGGGAGGATTCTTCTGGCTCACAATTTTGGAGGTTCTAGTTCATGATCAGGGGGGACCTACTGCTTCCAGGTCTCTGGTTGGGGGTACCAGATGGCAATGGCAGGAACATGTGTCAAAAAAGGACTAAGGACCCACGATCCCCTTTGGGACCTGCCCGAACTGACCTAAACATTTTTCTATTAGGCTCCACTTCTTACAGAGTTTCTACCACATCCCATACTGTCTCCCTGGGGAGCAAGACTTTACCCACATGGATTTCTGAGGACACTTCCAAACTCTAGCAATATTTATGCATGTATACAAATCATCAGAGCAAACACAGCAATGGCACAAAGTGAAGTTAATATTTATTTTTTGAATTTACCATACTGTCTAACTACAAGATGAAAGCTAGATGCAGTCACTGATCTGCTAGGAAGTAAGACTTTTAACCAATTTACTAGTCTAGCATTAAGTGGCAAGCTTATATAAACTGGGGGTGATAGGTGTACTATCACATCATGAGTTAAAATGAACATAAAATGCTAGGAGGAAAACTTTATATTTATATACATCTATATACATCTTTACATTTATATACATCTTTGAAGCTGGGCATGATGGCACATCCCTATAATCCCAGCACTCTGGAGGCTGAGGCAGGAGGATTGCCCTGAATTCAAGGCCAGCCTGGGATACAAAGGGAGTTCAAGGCCAGCCTGACTACATAGCAAGACCCTGACTCAAAAAAACAAACAAAAAAGAAATCTAATATAACTCATGATTTCAGTTTCTTTGAATGCTTATTAATGCTAAAAAAAAGTTGCAAAGGACAACCTGGGCCAGGCATGGTGGCACACACCTGTAATCCCAGCACATGATGCTGAGGCAGGAGGACCAGGAGTTTTAGGCCACCCTAGATAAATTTTTGTCAAGAAATGAAAATTTTAAAAAGACTTGGGATATAGCCCAAAACAAAGGTTCTGGGTTCAGTCCCTAGTACTGCAAATAAACAAATACAGTAAATTAATTAATTAAAAAAGAAAAGCCCATAATACTTGGTTTTGTCTATGTTTAAGGTCCATACTTCTTTTAAAGTAGTGTTATGGGGATGGAGGTGTGGGTCAGCAGTGCAGCATTTGCCTTGCAAGTAAGAGGCCTGATTTAATCCC